CACAACATTGCTTGGAGAATGCCATGCTGGCTCCCCTGGGTGTAGTGTTGTCGTAAGAAGGTTGAAAACTCATCCAGATTGCAGAGCTCAGAGCATAGGCTCTGCTGAGTTTGCTGGATGAGTCTTTAGGTGAAGGTGGAGAAGGGCAGTCCCTTCAAGGCACCTACTTCTGGCCCATGGCTAGCTGAGAGTGACTTGAACTTTGATGGGGGCCCAAGTTCTTAGATAGATGGATAATTTATTATGGTCAAAGACCAGACCCAAGGTCTTTCCCAGAAAAAATGATACAAATCATTTGGAAACAAACAGATGGCTTTATATAGCTTTTACACACACACACACACACACACACACACACACACACACACACCATCATCAATTCCCTTAGCACCAAATTCCCAAATCATTTTTATGGGCTAAAGTTGGACACAGATTGGCTATATCCAGTAGATCTCAACACTGTTAATTGATCTTACAAAGGCTCCAGCTTGGGCTTTGAAAGTTGGACTGAACCAAGAAGTAGCGTATTTCAGTCTCTTGCAGCATGTGTCTAACCACTTCCATGTGTTAAAACATACTGAAAGCAACTGGCTTACGTTCAGTTCTACGTCTTTCTTTCAGAGGAGGGAAATATCACATTAGGGTCCCCATCTGCACCATACATTTAAAGTGCCATCATACCACTTTAAACAGCCATGGCTCCCCCCCCCTCCCCAAGAATCCTGGTAACTGTAGTTTAAGGGTGCTGAGAGTGCTAAGGAGATCCTTATTCCACTCCAAGAGCTACAATTCCCAGAGTTCGCTGCAGGGAGGGATTGATTGTTAAACCACTTATAATTTCCTGAGTACCTAGTACTCAGAGGACTATTGACTCTGATGGTGGAGGTAGAATACAGCTATCATGGCTAGTAGCCATTGAAGTGGGTTTGGCAAGGTTGTCAGTAAGCAGACGGGAGTCATTGTTCAGCAACACCTGGAAGGCCAAAGGCCCCCAGTTTCTGCAATAAGTCAGAAGACAGAGGGGCATGTGCCCAAGGCCTTCTGGGAAAGAATGTGTCTGCCAGGGACCACATTGCCACACACATTCCTACCCTTTCATGAGCATCGTCCTAGTGGTAAATAAATACCATCCTGTCCGATAAAACTAGAGTGGGTTTCAAATGATGCTTTCATCTGTACTGGGAACTTATTAAAGGCAGAAATAAATGAAGCTGATCTTAATTTGCAGTCAGGGTTACCTACAGGGAGAGATTAAGAACCAAACGAGACAATAGCCATCTATTTCTGCCCGAAGATCAGATGACTGGAGAAGAAGGGAAAATTATCTCTCACACACATAACCTTTATAAAGCTAATGGGGAGTTGCCCAGGTAAGCTAGTCCTCATTTATTTTAAGCCACATTCCATCTGAGAAGCAGGCCAGTTCAAAATATTATTAAGAAACATAAGCAGGAATCTTCCCCATGTAGCTGAGCTGGGACACTGGGAGGTGGCGAGGGCAGGGAGGAGAGAAGGTTGTTTTCTTCTGTTGCTAAGACAGATTTCTGCCTCCCTCCCACCTTCCCCTCATCCAACCGTCAGTTCCTCCTTCCCATTGGCCTCCCGGTTGCATCGAATGATCGTGACAGGTTTTCATTCCCCTCGCTTTATTGGCTTAGTCTTGTGGCCTATTGTCAAGGGGAAGCAAATCAGATACCTAATCAATAGTTGGCAAAGGCTGCGAGAGGCTAGCCATTTGCATCAACACTCTCGCTGTCTGGGCTTCTGCACTCAAGATAAGCATCGCCTTAGCCTACGACAAGATGGAGCGCCACCAGAATGCTGTTTGGTCGCAGAGGGAAAGAAGCAACTGCAAACTCTGGTGATGCCATTACAGGCCCAATACATTTTGATTTCTGGGGCAGAGCAGCAAATGACACCCGCTCCCTTAAGTTGAGGTGCATAAATACCCAAGGCCAATATTTTGGCATCAGAAGCACTTCCTCCCCTCCTGCCTGTAATTGAAAAATATCAACACTATATTTAACGATACACAATTTGCTGTCAGAAGCAGCCACCTCACTCTGCCTAATGGCAGGGCCATCCAATGGGGAACAAAGGAGCATTCAAAAGGGCCACACTGAAGCCTCTCACATAGAGGAGGAGCTGATGACAATGTTTTTTTTGGAGAGCAGTGTTTCCCAGACTTGGGTATCTAATTGTTTTTGGACTACAACTCCTATCATCCCTGACCACTGGTCTTGCTAGCTTGGGATGATGGGAGTTGTAGTCCAAAAAACAGCTGGAGACCTAAGTTTGGGAAACACTGCTATAGAGGGTGATTTGCTCAAGGGCCTTTCAAAAACCTCATGCTAACACTGCTTTCCACTATCCCAACCCCCTGCAATGCAGGAATATCAACGAAAGCAGCCATGACAGATGGAGAGCTGAAGTCCAATGAAACATGGAGGGTTGCAGGCTCTTCAATCTGCTGCATTCATTGGGGGCTTTGCACTATTGGGTGATACGCTGGTGCAAGGCAAAGCATTCAGTCTTCAGCAGTCTCCACCACCACCCATTGAAGCTTCCAGGGGGCTGCAATAAGCAGGAGAGATCGGTAAAAGCTGGATGTCTTAACTCATGTGAGAATAGGCTGTTTCTGCTAGCAAAAAGCCATCATCAAATACCATCCTTCATCATCATCATCATCAACAACAACATCATCTTTTAATTCTTTATTTGAAGTTAGGGGGTAGGAGGATGTCAATTTTGGTTTCTCAGTTCTTCATTTTTCTGATATGAAGTTCAGTTCTCCATATTTCCACATCAGTTTTCATTTTTTAAAAATATAAAATGTCATTGAACGCGACTTTCTCCCAACTTTCATGCTTGCATTAAATTTTGCCCACAATGCACATTCTTGCAAAGCATTTCCCCATCCTATAATGTATTTTGTATGTTATTTTCACTACTATGTGCATTTTTGCCATGCACACTTTGCCAAGTACATGCATTTTGCACACATTTCTAGATTGCATGACTACATTGCAAAATTCACAGAAGGGCAAATTTTGAAGGATGGCTCTGTTTTGGTTCCCATTTTGTTTCAGAAAGTACAGATCAGGTAACTTCCCCTTTAAATGTGAACTGACATGAATTTCTCCCCCATCCCTACTTGAGGTTAACAGCTTTGAGCGATTGGCCAAGCAGGATCTAAACAATTTTAAATGAACAGGCTGAAAAATCGATGTGGGGAAAGAGGGTCCTTTAGAGGAATTCACAATTTAAAGTGTTGGTGCTGACCTTTAAAGCACTAAACAGCCTCGGCCCAGTATTCCTGAAGTAGCGTCTCCACCTCCATCGTTCTACCCGGACACTGAGGTCCAGCACCGAGGACCTTCTGGCAGTTCCCTCACTGCGAGAAGTGAGGTTACAGGGAACCAGGCGGAGGGCCTTCTCGGTAGTGGCGCCCGCCCTGAGGAACCCCTCCCATCAGATGTCAAGGAAATAAACAACAATCTGACTTTTAGAAGATATCTGAAGGCAGCCCTGTTTAGGGAAGTTTTTATTGTTTGATGTTTTACTGTGCTTTTAACATTCTGTTGGGAGCTGCCCTGAGTAGCTGGGGAAACCCAACCAGATGGGCAGGATATAAATAATAAATTATTGTTATTGTTATTATATAGAGGTCCTGGTCTCAGACTTTTAAAATCTGCAACCTTATGAGGACTGTTTTCCTACTGCCTGGTGCTTAGATTAAAGAGGGAACAGCTACTGTTTCAGGAGGGGACACAGGGCATGATTTGGCTACAACTGGAGCACTTGCAGATTTCCCTTATAAGAACATAAGAAGCTGAATCAGGCCAGGGGCCCATCTAGTCCAGCATCCTGTTCTCACAGTGGCCAACTAAATGACTGTGAGAAACCTGAAAGCAGGATTTGAACACAAGAGGTTCAGAAGCATCACTGCCTCCAACTGCAAAGGCACAGTATAGCCATCAGAGTTGGTAGTCATTTATAGCCTTATCCTCCATGACGTTGTCTAACCCTTTTAGAAGCCATTCAAGTTGGTGGTTCACACTATGTCTTCAGGGAGGGAACTCCACACTTTTAACTGTGCGCTGCATAAAGTACAGTGGTATCTCGGGTTAAGTACCGTATTTTTCGCCCTATAGGACGCACTTTCCCCCCTCCAAAAATGAAGGGGAAATATGTGTGCATCCTATGGGGTGAATGCAGGCTTTTGCTGAAGCCTGGAGAGCGAGAGGGGTTGGTGGGCACCGACCCCTCTCGCTCTCCAGGCTTCAGGGAGCTTTCCGCAAGCCTTGGGAGGCCGCGGGAATTCCTGCCGGTCTCCCAAGGCTTGCGGAGAGCTGCCTGCATCCCGAAGCCTGGGGCGCGCTGAGCTTCTCAGCATGCCCCCGGCTTCAGGCAGATATCTGCAAGCCGTGAGAGACCGGCGCGATTTCCCGCCGGGTTCCCTAGGCTTGTGGATAGCAGCCTGTTCTGGGGGCTGGGGTCGGGGGAAGCTTGGGCGCCTGGGGGGGGGTAATTTCCCCCCTTTATTCCCCCCCCAAAAAAACTAGGTGCGCCCTATGGGCCGGTGCGCCCTATGGGCCGAAAAATACGGTACTTAATTTGTTCTGGAGGTCCGTTCTGAACCTGAAACTGTTCTTAACCTGAAGCACCACTTTAGCTAATGGGGCGTCCTGCTGCCACCGCGCCGCCGGAGCACAATTTCTGTTCTCATCCTGAAGCAAAGTTCTTAACCTGAGGTATTATTTCTAGGTTAGCAGAGTCTGTAACCTGAAGCGTCTGTAAACTGAAGTGTCTGTAACCCGAGGTACCATTGTACTTTCCTTTTGCCAGCCCTTAATCTTCCCACCTTGAGCTTCATTGAATGTCCATGAGTTCTCTCTCCACTTTCTCAATGCCATGCATCATTCAAGCACTGTTACTGCTGAAACTGCAGGGAGCAGGGTGTGTGTGTGTGTGTGTGTGTGTGTGTGCTCATTTCATACCTGTAGCCGCTGGGGTCGAAGAGAAGCACACAGCAGCCATGCTCCAGATGCATTCAACAGTTCATGCTTCTTCCTAGTTGTGTGAACACACTTCTTCCTGTGTGGATAAGAACAGAATCAAATATCAGCATTTTGACCCCACCTTTGGACATGCAGCAGAGGACTGCACCATTTCCCAAAAGGGAACGACGCTTGAATCACTTACTCCAAAAACGTGGGTTTCAGCAGACAAAGCAAAGAAGACTGAGCACATTTTCTCTCCCCCCGCCCCATCCAAGGAAATGTTAAGAGGAAACGAGAGTCACAGGTTACTTCCTCCGGTTCCTACTAGCCTGGTACCTGCAGTGCTACAGGCTCCATGCAGTATATTTATTCAGCCAGTAGATGTCACCATACACTTCATCGCACGACACTAGGAGAGAGGACCGGGGTCCCTTCTAACAAAGTACTAAAAGGGATTTTTCACAGCAGCACTAAGTAAAGCTATAATACTCCAAAATACGAGAAAATAAAAATAGATTGCTGGGTCATCTAATGCCTGTATCTGCTTCTCACAGTGACCAGCCAGATGCCTGGGAGAAATCCACAAGTTGTTTGTAGGTATATGATATGTTGCAGTTTTTATTCTATTTTAATAAGGTAGATTTTTTTCATTCTGTACCTGCTGAATCATGTTAGTGGTGAGACAGCCAGTCATTTTGAACACTCCAAATAGAGGGGGAAAGTGGGATTAAAGAATGTTGGGTCTTATCAGATACCTTGAGCAGCTCCTGAATAAATGCTTTACACACAGTAAGCACCAGGTTCAACCTCCGGCATCTCCAGCTCCCATTGTGAAATCCTACAGAGCTGCTGCCAATCAGTGCAAACAATACTGAGCTGCATGGAGCAATGCTCTGGCTTGGGATAAGGCAGCTTCATAAGGAAGGGGGAAGCAGGGAAGGATCTAATAAAATAAAAACAGGCACTGAACAGTATTGAAGCAATGTAAACATTTGGTGAGATCAGAGTATATATTGTTATAGGTTGGAGGGGTTGGTCTGAATGATGCTTGTGGGTCCTTTTGAACCTGCAATCCTGTATCTCTGATGTAAGAGGAAACCAGTCAAACCAGTTCCTTTGCTAAGGTAATGGCCTTGGCTGGCCAGTTAAGTACTGTCCTTTACATGTCCTAACAGATTGCTATAAGGACAAATGGGCGGGCCTTTTCTGGATGCCTCATCAGTTAGCTGGATGCCACATCACTTGAAGATGGGGAACAACAGGCCAAGGATTTTTTGTTTGTGGGCGAGTTTGGGGCTGATTCTAGAAGCAGGAGACACAGAGGCCTGTGTGCTGGAGCCAAGAGCTATGTTTTGGGGATCTCAATAGGAGTCCATGGGGACACAAGTTCTGTTGGAGTGTTGATGCTGTGAGCCCCTCCATCTTGTGCTCAGGTTGGATATTTGAGTCAATAAAACCATACATCCTAAACACACTGCAATCTCCATTCACTGTCATTCCAAGAAAACAGAACACCTTCACAGAAAGTGAAAGTGGCATTGATAAGAACTTTGGATTACAACAGGAAAATAAAGAAGACGAAAATTAAAATATTTCGCACAGAACTACAAAAGACTAACCAGCTTGCTAAACGAATTCAGAGGCTGTTAAAAATAAAGGAAGGAACAACACTGGAAATGTTTTATTGGGACTATTTGGACTAATTAAGGAATGCAGTACAATATTAGATCATTACTCCCCAAACTTCAGAGCTTGGGAAGTCACCCAAAGATATATAATTTGGTATGATTATTTGGCTTTTTTGATTGTATTATACTTTGGAATGTTTTGATGTGGTTTTTATTGGATTGTTAAAATGGAAAACTTAATAAATATTTTTTTAAAAAAGAAGAAGAAAGAAAATGGAACCCTGAATAAGCACAGGAACACCTGGAGTCTCTCACCCCTCAGATATTGTGGTGCAAGCCACAATATATTTTGTCAACTTTGCAGGTGCATGGAATGCACTACTTTTGAAGTGAAGAAGGATCAGATTAGTCAACTGATAGTACACCCAGTTCTTTTTTTATGGGGTACTCAAAGGTATGTAGTAACGGCACTTTTTACCCCCAAATGTTAAAAGGGTGGCACTTACTATAACAACTTCATGGTGAGTACAGGCACTTTTGTTTCTTAAAAAAAAGAAAAAAAGTAAAAGCACTTAGTACACCCCTAGTGTTAAGGACTATTAGGCTACAAATGCCCACCTTTTCCTCACATCCTTCATCCAAACAGCCCCATGCCAGAGCAGGCCATGTACCTGCTCATAGAGCTGCATGTTTTCCTCCTGCAGCCTGTTTCCCTGAAGTTTAGCCTTACTTTTTTTTAAAAAAGAGAGAATCTCTCATAGACACTGATTGATGTCTCTTCCACAATCCTGAAGGCTTCCCCCCCACCCTTCCCTTTTGCAATTAACAGGCCAGACATGTCTAAATAAACTGGGGCACAATGACTTTATGACTAAGGCAGCGATGCCAGGCCCCCTGATGAATGTGGGCTCTTAAACGAAACCAAACAAAAATAAGCCTGGCTAACAAGTCTCTAGGCTTGTTCCTTCGGGATGACAGATTGACAAAACATAGGCTTTTTATAACTCTCAAACCAAAATAAGCCATTGACCCAGCTGCAGTGCCATGCTAAACAATCGCGGCTCTATATAGGCCTCACCAAGGCGTTTTGTGGGAGCGCTGGATGGGATCGTTTCAGGCCTTTCCACAGACGTTCTCTGGGTGGGGAGAAACTGGACATAAAAACATAAGAAGAGCCTGCTGGATTAGGCCAATGGCCCAACTAGTCCAGCATCCTGTTCTCACAGTAGCCTGTGGGAAACCAGCAAGCAGGATTTGAGCACCAGAGCTCTCTTCCCTCTTGGTTTCCAAGAGCATTGTTTCCATCAACTCTAGAGGCAGAGCATAACCACTGTGGCTATTAGCCACCAAAAGCCCTCTCTTCCTCCATGAATTTGTCTAATCCTCTTTTAAAACCATTCAAGTTTGTGGCCCTCACTGCCTACTGTGGTAGTGAGTTCCATAGTTTAACTACGCACTGGCTATAGGGCCCACAGTGCACTTAGAAAACAAGAAGCAGTCATTAAAGGTAAAGGGTAAAGGGACCCCTGACCATTAGGTCCAGTCGTGACCGACTCTGGGGTTGCAGCGCTCATCTTGCTTTATTGGCTGAGGGAGCCGGCGTATAGCTTCTGGGTCATGTGGCCAGCATGACTAAGCCACTTCTGGTGAACCAGAGCAGCGCACGGAAATGCCGTTTACCTTCCCACTGGAGCGGTACCTATTTACCTACTTTCACTTTGGTGTGCTTTTGAACTGCTAGGATGGCAGGAGCAATGGGAGCTCACCCCGTCGCGGGGATTCAAACCGCCGACCTTCTGATCGGCAGGTCCTAGGCTCTGTGGTTTAACCCGCAGCACCACCTCCGTCCCTGAAGCAGTCATTATTTGGGTTTATATTTTTTTTAAAAAAGGAAATTAATTCAATGGTGCTTTTCCCCCCTGGCGGTACACAGTACCAGCACTTTCCCCCTCTTCCCAATCTTGCAGTAAGGGAAATACAGTAGAGGGTGGGGAGTGCAAGGAAGCAACTGTGGTGGAAAGGGGGGTTGCGAAGAGCTGAGGTGGCGGCAGCAAGGGAAAGGAGGCCCTTGTTCAGGGCTGTAGTTGCTGCTCTCAGTCCACAGGCTGCACTGTTCCCCCTCAGCTGCCTCGCAATGCGCGCTCTCCCCCCTTGGGTGCGCTGCCGTGCCGCTGCCTCACTACGCCACAAGTGGCCAGGTGTGAGTGAGTGCTGTTTCTCCTTCACCTCTGCTTGCTCTTTCCATGCCTGCAGGGAGGGGAAGGGGGAAGATGAGGGGAGGAGGGAAAGAGAGAGAGAAATGGGAAGAGAAAGCAACCTCTGCTGCTTGGACCACTGTCCTCCATTCTGTGGCTGGGGCAAGCCATAAAGGCGAGCGGAGATGGTCCGGCTGGTTACTAGGAGAAGAGGAAGGGAGGAAGAAAAGGAAGAAGAAGAAGGAGGAGGAGGAGGAGGAGGAGGAGGAGGAGGAGGAAGGAGTCAGAAGGAGGGAGGAACTTCCTGTTGCCGTCTAAAATGCTGTGGAAGTTGGAAGGAGAATTTAGAAGAGTTTGAAGAGTTTGGATTTGATATCCCGCTTTATCACTACCCAAAGGAGTCTCAAAGCGGCTAACATTCTCCTTTCCCGTCCTCCCCCACAACAAACACTCTGTGAGGTGAGTGGGGCTGAGAGACTTCAGAGAAGTGTGACTAGCCCAAGGTCACCCAGCAGCTGCATGTGGGGGAGTGGAGACGCGAACTCGGTTCACCAGATTACGAGTCTATTGCTCTTAACCACTACACCACACTGGCTCTGGAGAGGGAAAAGGAGAAGAAGGAGAAAGGGGAGGGCAGGATGCTGTGTGAGAGAGAGTGAGAGAGAGAGAGAAAGGAGGAAAAGGATTATGTGAGGTTCTGTGCTATTCACTTGTGTTCCTTTGGTGGTGAGAGAGGTTGGGGTTGGCCTAGGGTGTGGTTGTTTGTGATTGGCTGTGGTGAACCTGCACAAGCGACGCTGACACAAAACCCCACATATACTAAGTATAATAGAAACACCGCCACCCGACCCCACCCCATCCATCTCCCCTTCTTCTTCCTAATGTCTCAACAAATGAAACTGATCTGTAAAAAATGTTACTTAGAGAAAAGAGAGAGAGATTGCACATACTTTTGTAAACTAAGAAAATCTTTAATAAAAATACATTAAAAAAAAGAAAAGGATTATGTGAGTACTGGCACTTTTTTATATGTAGAAAAAAAGCATTAATCATCATCGACAACATATTGATTGCAAAACATTGGAAGACACAAGATTTGCCCACACTGGAAGAATGGCAAACGCAACTGATAGACTACATGGAGCTGGCCGAGATGACTGGCAGAATTCGAGACCTGGGAAAAGAGGAGGTGGAAGAGGACTGGAAGAAGTTTAAAGACTATTTACAAAAACTATATAAATTGTATGAATGTTAAGAAGGTGCATGAAAGG